GTCAATCCAATCTGGTTGTGCCTTTCAGATCTAACATACTATAGGGAGGACTTGGATCCAACAACTCCAAGAGGAGCTAGTGATTGTTAGTTCCCTGGAGCAGTCCTCTACTGCAATTGCAAATTTGCGTTCCAACTTGCAACGGAATCCAGAGTTTGCTGCAACTGCATACTGCCTCGAAGAGCTATTGTTCTATCGCATGAACAAGGAGTGGAGCTCGATGAGCAGTCTGAGCTCTTCTCTGGAGAAGGTCCAAGAAGCTCAAATTCTCGGTATGACGAACTTGCTTTTCTCAAAGAAAACTAGCTCTAATAGTTAATCTAAATTTGCAGGCCCTCACCCAGCCACGCGCTTTCAGCGAGCACTGGTTCTGCATATGGATCGCAGCATGTCACCGTGCCCTAGGCGATCCGGCCATCCTCTCGCGTTGCCTTTAACAGCGTTGAATGCATCTGAGAGAATCCGGTCCGCGGTTGCGAGACGCAACGCTCTAGACTTTGTGAGACTCTGATCTACATTATTTATCGAACTATACTAACCTTTCTACAGCACAAGAGCATCAGCGTCTTTGTCCAATGTATCGAGAAAACACCCAAATCCTCTCTTGGGTCACTCCATGCTGTCCTTTCTGTGCTCGAATTTGCAACTACGTACATTGTGTGTTTCCAAATATCGTCGATGATACAACAAGTTACTGATATTGTACAGCTTTGTATCGCCAATCCAGGAAGGGGCATTGTAATTCCCTGGTCCTGGGCCTTGCAACATCTTTCGACAATTATGCAATCTCCCGCTAAGGACTATGGGTTCAAGGACAGAGAAATCCGAGTGCAAACAACCGACTTGATAAACATGGTCATCAGCTTCTGCGGCCTCATGGAACAGGTCGAAAGTGGGCTCAGTAGCGGCATTCTGAGATTCCAAGGACTGGGCCGCAGTAATCTTCCAATCCCTATTATCAAACGGCGCTGCACTGAGCTTCTGACGACCGTGAACCTCAACCTAAACTATTGGCCCAAGCAGCCAATCGGTTACAAGGAGATGGAGAAGACGATCAATAAGGTATATATTTTCACTTATGCCAATGTTCCCTAAAATAAGCTTGACTAATTATACTAAACAAAAAACTAGACGCTTCGCTCATCCCTTATTCCACCGGGAATGGCACTGGAGTTTTCCAACAGTGATAGGTTCCGGCAAAGTTGCATCCGCGAGTATGCAGCCTACAACCACAAAGACGAGCTTTGTGTCATTGCGCTTGATGATAGAAAGTCTGCTCCTCTCTTCCTGCGGTCCTTCACGCAGGGCAATGCCAAATTCGCTCAGTTAAGTGATATCCTGCAAATGTCGCACATTGCCGAGAACCCGCTATCAATGGGTCTGGAAGAAGACCGGCAAGTTGATGAGTACACTGGATATGAGCTCGACATGATCACGAATCTTCAGCGACGCTGGCGGCAGGTGATGAAGGTCCTCGAAAACAACCGCTATAGGGCAAAAGCCCGTGAAGGCAAACTTATCCAGCACTTCCATGAGGTGTGCATGAGACGCATGAGCGTTCTACCCGCGGCTACTTGGTCAACTCGGGATAAAATCCACATGCGCAAGGTGATATTCACCGACGGTATGAAGATCGCCATGTCTCTTGAGGGTGTTCTGGACAGTTTCCGACAACTGAAGGAGCGGTGGAGACAACAGTTCGACAGCAATTGTTCCACTACGAAGCTAGAGGAGCTGTCCATCATTCGCGGACGCATTCTCCCGATCGATGGCCAGCTTGAATACATTGTTGAGCACTGGTCTCCCAAGGGCATTGAGGAGGGTATGATGACCGTTCCGGCTAAGGACCTCGGTAGCTCAGCCCGTGAGGCCCAGCGCGCCCTCTGGGCTGTTCAGCGTGAAATTGAAATCATTCGGTCTCAGGTTGAGATCATTGCGAAGACTGCTGACCCATAACGGGTATTTTCATTTTCCCTGCCATGATTGACGAGCGGAAGCTCGACAACAAAAAGCCGCAAAAACATTTGAAAATAAAAAATCTCAGCAAAAAAAGGTTAACGGGTCATAATCTGTGTGGAATGAGAGGGATTCCTTAATATCTGGCGTGGGATCATTTTATGGTAGGATGAGATACGATTGTATGTGGTGAAATGTATGAATATCTTGTCTGAATACTCTGTAATGAATTCTTGTCTACGTACTATGTAACCAATGCACCTACTCTTAGAAATAGATTCAAGTACAGTAGGTATCCACTGCTGTTTGGAAAGATAGTGTAAAGCATAGACAAGCATATTTGGCAAGATGCAGCATTATCCTAAAAAGATCACTCAGTGTCCTGCCAAGAGACCAAACAACAGCTCCGTCCGAGTCCAATACTCAGTTGCAAGCTTCTTCATAGTCTTCACAGTATCCGCATTGGAACCAGCGCTCTTCTGGGTACGCTCGACAACACCAGCCAGCTGATTGTGCTCGCCGAGCATCTGAGACAGATACAGAGAGTCGAAGAAGAGCTGAACCTTCCAATCGCGCAGGCCCTCGACTTGATCTGGATCCGGGCCTTGAGTCGCTGGTTTCTCCTCAGTCTTATCTTTCTCATCCTTATCTCCGTTGGCAGTAGGTTGGTCATCCTTACTCTCAGCCTGGCTAGGGACATCTTCACTGTCGAGATCATCCAAAGCAGCTGAGATAGCCGCCTCCAGATTCGTTTTCAATTCCTGCTTCAACGCCTGCACAGTGGACGGATCCCACAGGTCCAATCCGCATGTATCCATCGAGGAAGTGAGACGGCGGAGGAGCTTGAAGCTCGAAGCCGAAGGCTGAACCGGTATGGCAGGCTCGCCTTCCCAGAGTGATCGGCCAGGCACGGTCTTAATCTTGCCTGTTTGGGGATTGCTCTTCGGGGACGGGATCAAGCTCAACGAACCAGCCTTAGCCACTACTTCCGTTGCAAGCAACTTCTGTAAATCAGGGACGATTTCGTTCGAGAATACAAAGTCTGTAGATACAAAGCCGGCGGGAATATCTCGCCGGACTAGTCGTATAAGCCTTAGTAGGAAAGTGGCCTTTTCACTTGAATGCGAGGGTGTAAATGATTTAAAAGCGCTGCTGAATGACGTCTGGAGACAGGTCAAAGCGTCGCGAACGGCAGAATGCAGAGAATCAGATAGGTGCCGAGGGTCGTCTTCGTTGAGTCGAGGTGTGATGTCGATATCTTCGTCCTCGACTTCGCCTCCGACGAGAATGTCTGTCCATCGCGTGCGGCGCAGTGAGTCAATGGATTCGTCGAATTCTTGGATTGATGCCAGCCATGCTTGATACTTCATAAGGACGGTAGAGACGTCTTCGTCACGACCCAATAGTCTGGCTACGACGGTTTGTTTGAATGCTTGTGCGCCGTTCGTGTATTCTGCGGTAATGAGATCGGCATCCCATAGAGATCCGACGGGATTGTGGTTGGTGTTCTCCCAGTCTAATATTATAGACGAAACTTGAGTACCGACTGCGCCTAGGCTTTGTGTTTGCACATTCAAGATTCTGGAGAGCTGCTCATTGAAGATATTTCGAAGACTTTCGAGGACATCCACTGCACCGTGGATGATCGTTGAGCCCCAGGATGATAGCCACAATTCCACAGTCTCTGTGCGGAGCGAGAGGAGCTCAGAGAAATCGGTGCTGTGGGCTAGGCTCTTTTGGCAGCCTTCGGAGAATTTCCTGAAAGCCTGGAGTGACCATTCCTTGATTGATTCCACGCCCTGGGTTCTGTTTAGTTCGCTGAGCTTGATCCAGGGGGTGAAATTCTTCACATCTGGAGCTACCCAGCGGCCAAGAACTTCAACCTCCAGCCCATCTAAACTCTGAATCTCCGGGTCGGCGAGGAGGGGTCGAGCTTTAAGTTTCAAGAGCACATCTGAGAATCGATGGGATCGCAAGACCTTTGAGGCCTGAAGCGTCCGAACAAAAAGCTGGAGAGCTCTGGGAATGTTCTCACGAGACATATCCAACTGGCCAACGATAACGTCCAGGCGCACTTGGTGGAAATGATGGATCGCATCATCGGAAGAAGAGCTTGTTGCAAGGCAATAGGCAGCCAATGATTCAATGATAGTGTCTTCTGTGGCGCTTGTAGAGGCAAGGCGTTTATTAATCCGTTTGAGAAGTGTTTGCCGAAGGGACGCTACCTGCTTCCAGAGATCATTAAGGAATGGAGGGGGTGATTCATGTTTCGATAATGCCTTGTGTAGTGATCTGGAAACAACTAGGATCTTCGCAACCAACAGGAGCGAGCTGCGACGTCGCAAAAGCCGGCTGATGGAGGTTGTACAGCGGTGGAGGAGAGAAAGCTGCGCTCCGAATGCGTGTTTCTCTGCGTCTATATTCACAGTATCAGCCACTGATCCCGGATTTCCCCTAGAATAGTTTGTACCTTTCTCCGCATCGCCCGTCTTTATTTGCCGGATGTGAACATGCTTCCTTTCTATAAGTCGGGGGTTGCACCGACGTCCAACATCGGCCAGAATGGATTCCACGTCTTGAATGTCTCGGTTCATAGCCACAATTGTCTCAGCAGTTCCAACCAAGTCACGATATCGCGTCCTATAATCAAATTATACCAATATTAGCAAAGGAACAGCTATTTTGGCAAATCAAGCACCTACCCCACGAGAGCTCGGAGCTTCTCCTTATTGCTCGCGATGTCCCGGCGCAGCTCCTGTTCCACGCGGCGGACCGTGGGAATTGGGTATTGGAATGCATCCTGCCATGACTTCAGGTTTTGAGGATCAGGGGCCTCAGGAGCCATGCTGCGGGATATGTGGTAAGACTGTTGGTTTACAGAGAACAAGTAATCAATGCGAGACGGATGCCTGGGCGCCTTAGACCCCTGCATAGTTACTCGTTCTTATCGTTATCGTCATGTGATGGCAGAAAAAGTTCCCCGCCACCGAGGGGAAATCGGTCGTCGCCGGACGATCTTACACTTTACACAAACGATATTCAATATGCCGTTGATTGAATCAGAGGCTGCTATGGCAGAGACATCACCAAACGATCTCCCTGATCGTCTTCCTTTCCCCGCCCACCACCTACTCCCATATCTTGCATTGCTCCTATCATGACTGGCATCCGCGGTAAGCTTCCATATATATGACTCAACACCAACATATCTGACCGAAGTTCTAGCTACCGCACACTTGCACCCAAGTCGCGTGTCATTCCATTGACTGCTCCTTTTGTTAAATACCTCCGCGCTGACGGCATTGTTCTCCCACCCGAGGCCGTCGTCCCAACCGACGATGATAACCTAGACACATTCTCCGATTCGGGCGAGGAGGAGCCCGATCCATCTACAGAATGGCAGGAGATCCACTCCCAGATCAAGAATACCATCTCGGAATTTGGTGGCATTGTCACACCGAAATTAAACTGGAGTGCTCCCAAAGATGCAACCTTCATGGCCGCCACAAACGACACACAATGCCGTTCTCCGAATGATATCTACCTCCTCCTGAAAAGCAGCGACTTCATCACCCATGATTTAGATCATCCCTTCGACGACTGTGTACCGGATACAACCGACGACGAACCCACGTCATCCACCGTTGACTCACCGCTGCCGGATGTTCCGTATTCTCTGGTTCTTCGCAAATATGTCAACTTCAACCCTTCGCTCGAGTTCCGGTGCTTTGTGCGCAACCGTGTACTTCTTTGCATGACGCAGCGCGATCAAAATCACTTCGACTTCCTCTTCCCCATGCGTGATATGCTTCGGTCTCGTATCCAGTCATTCTTCGATGAGAAGCTCAAGAACACCTTCCCAGAATCCAACTTTGTATTCGACGTCTATATCCCCGCGCCACACCAGCGTGTCTGGTTGATTGATATCAATCCGTGGGCGCAACGTACTGACCCGTTACTGTACAGTTGGTTGGAGATTCTCCAGATGAAGGATCCGATCGGTGTGCAAGAGGAAGAAGATGATGGAGCGGAAGAGTTTGTGAGAATCTCACTTCATGATGGTAAAGTTATCACTTCCGACCCGGCGGAAGAGCTTGAAAAAGAAGATGATTCTTCTTCCGACTCAGAGGACGAACATGAAGGTGCCGAAGGAGATGACGAGCAGGCCCCCTTCCTTCCAGAATTCCGTCTCATCAAGAAGGATGATCCCGAGGCGTACGCATTCAGCTCCACTCAGTATTCGGCTCACAAGGTGCCGAAGGAGTTGGTCGATGCTTCGCTTGAGGGGCCTGGCGGCATGAGTGAATTCATGGGTCAGTGGCAGGATATCCTGAAGAAGCAGGAGCAAGAGGATCGGGCCGCTGACAGTGACTCCGAATAAACAATCTCAACCGAACGTTCAGTGGGATAAAAGCATGGATTATTGGTCTAGTGGCGTTCAAATATAGTAGGGAAATGAGTATTTGGGAATTTCAAGGTTGCATCGTGGACTACAAATCAATCCACACATTATCGATGAATAAAAATCAATACGTATCCATGGATGTAATGATCGTTGTCAATCACTAGTAATCACAATTACACCCCTAAATAGACAACTATCAATATATGTAAAGTAGAACAAAATAATGCATAAAGAGACACTCAATCCTAATAAATTGTTGTACCGCAAAAAGGACACCGGAAAAGTAAGTTACTACGGCGAGACCATAGAACAGACAGCCGTAACTTCTGATTGCTATGTACAAAAATACCATCCAGCAACTAAAGCTTATGTCTTTTCTCACCAGACGCCAACTTCCGGAACTCTTCCTGTGGGATTCCCATCATAAAGCGCTCAAGGCCCATAAACGCCTCAAGACCATTCTGGCGGTCCAGAAGCTCCCTCTCAGGCCGTCTTACTAGCTCCTTAATCTTCAACAGACTAGTCTGGTTCAAGTGTGTACCCAGACGATCATCAACCTCCTCAAGCACCTTCTTCAAGAACCCATCAGAGTCATCCTTTTTCCCAGACTCCGGCGTAATAACCTTATTCACAAAGCCAGTCGAAACAAGCTCGTCACAAGTAATCCGCTTACTCATGATGAGCGCCTCGTTCGCCTTAGCGATGCCGAGGCGCTCGACGAAGGCGCGACTAGCGCCGCCTTCAGCGACGAGACCTAGCGAGGAGAAGGGGGTGAGGAGGAATGTGTGCGGGGCGGCGTAGATGAAGTCAGCGTGAGCAACCAGTGCGGCTGAAAGACCGACAGCGGGGCCGTTCAGGGCGGCAACGAGGATCTTAGAGTGGGTGTAGAAGGTGCGCGTGGCATCCAGGTTGTTGGCTACGAAGCCCCGGACGAGCTCGCGGCGGACATTTGTGCTGGCATCGTCACTGCCAGGACGTATACTTGTTACGTCTGCGCCGCTGTGAAGACATGAGTATTGGGACATCTAGGGTTGGGTTGTGTCTGTGGGTGGCATACGCAGAGAAGAAACGACCTGTTCCGGTCAGGACTGTAATAAAGATATCCTCTCTCGAGTCAATTTCCCGTAAACGCTCAGCTAGAAGGTAGTATAGGTCGGCATTGAGAGCGTTTAGCTTGTCGGGTCGGTTGAGTGCCACGATCGCTACGCGATCCTGGTAGGTGACGGTAATGAGATTTTCATTCGACATTTTTACTGTATAATGTGGAAGGAAATTGATCAATGGAACATGAAATTAAACTGGATTGCAATGGTTTATCATTTATTTCTATGTAGGGTATCTGGGTACAAGTTAAGTTTGCGGGGAGCCGAGGCCCGCGGTGAACCTACAGCTCGCTGCCTGAGGCAGCAAAACATGTTTGCCCTGTTTGCTCAAATCCGAGTAATCAAGCCCGTGACTGGTCCACCGGCCATGGCACCACTCGGCGATAGAAGATTGAAGATTGAAGATCAACCTACAAATTATCCCTGCTCTCTGTCTGCTGGAATCAGGCAGAATTATCAATTGGTCACATCCCAACAATAACACCGAACCTCAATCCATACTCTCAGCAATAGCTGAAGCCAAAACACCCCGAAAAAAAAACAGTAACACATCAAACCTATACAATGTCGCAAATGTTCCGCAAGTTGCAGGGAGGCAATCTCGAAGTCCTCAAGGTGCGTAGCTGACAATCAAGTCTCTTAAGCGGGCAATGCCAGCTCCCGCGTTCCATCGCCTGTTCTTAGGACTAATGGAGTCCATGTAGTTCGGGATGTACGTCCTCTTCCCCATCGGCTGGATGTATTATTTCGGTACCAACCTCGACGACCGCTTCGCCACAAAGGGCTTCTGGCCAACTGCCGAGCAATCGCACAAGATCCCGCTGGATAAGGAGGAGATTGACCAGGAATTGGCACGTATGCGCATGGTGGATGCCATGAAGCGGGAGCAGAGGCAGGCGGCGGAGGCACAGGCTCAAGCGCAAGCACAGGCACAGGCACAGATCCAGACAACACAGAGTCAGCAATGAGGCTGCAATTGGTGGGTGTGATAGGAGAGGAGCTGGTAGCATGGTCTGAAACACGACATGCGCTCGGTGTCTAAGTCCTCGGGGGAACAAAAGGGCCTTGCGAAAAGAACCATTGATGCTCCCGTTCCCTCTCATTTGGGGGATTGATAATTATCGAGGACAACATTGACATCGCGCTGGGGAGTTACACATGTGCTGATGATGGGTTTACTTGTACAACACTCTGCTCTAGGCATCGAGGGCGTTCTGGGGTTTTCATTTTAGGTGTTGCATTATTCAACATCATATTGCTATATTGCTATTTTCTACCATCTACGATCCACTATGTACATTTTCTGTACATAATTCTGGAAAAGTGTACAAATATGGACTTCAATCATGATCACGTTCCAATGATAACACAAAACTGGTATCAATCGACCACAGAACTCTGCCGGAAAAGAGGCATATCTATACACAGTATGGCGCGAATGACCCAAGAAAAAAAAGACAAGAATTAATAATAATGTAATCCGCCACAATGCGACAATGCAAGTCATAGGGATGCCGCAAGTTCCCAGAACACAAGAACTCCAAACAAGCGCCGGCCGACAGAAAGAGTGGATACGAGGGTCCCTTGGATATGAAACTCCAAGGGGATTATAGAGTTCCTCACTCTCGGTAATAGGAGAATGCAAATGCAACCATTATGCGTATCGGGCTTTTATTCACAGTTCACCCAAGCGCTCGGTCGAGGTGGTAGCGGCGTTCTTCGCCGTTTCGTACACCATATCCCCAATTTGCGTGGCCACGCCATTTTCACCAAAGACCGAGCTGATGGACAACCGACCGGAGCTGAACAAGCGCTCACCGGCCCAGTAGTAGTAGAGGCGGCCGTAGATGGCGCGGAGGTGGTCAGGAAGGTAAATGTAAGTTCCCATGGCGATCATGGCGATGAGGCCAAGTAGCAGCGTGTCTGAATTGGGAAATAAAGGTTAGCCTAGCGTACCAAAAGTATGTTGGACGGGAGACAGGCGCAACGTACTGAAGATGAGCTTCTCGATCGGAGTAAGCATATAGAGGGAGAAGGTCACCTCATACTGATAAACCTTCAATCGCATCCAGCGGAAGAGGCTAGATACAGCCCAGATAATGAAGTCCATTGTCGCGGGGTGTTCAGAGGATTGTAGGATGTTCCGGTCTTTCGTTATTTCCTGCGGCTTGCGGTGCCGTGTGATTTTTTTCTCTCTCCACCACCTGGGCAAGGGCCGCCAATTACAGAAAGCGGGAAACAGATCCTGGAGACAGTCGTCTCAGACACGGGTACTGTATGTATGTCCGACGGAGCGTGGTGTTGTGAAGGGGAAAAAAACTGAGAGATGTTCCAAATCAACACTGCTTGGGGAAGTGTTTGACGTGAGGTCCTCGGATGTTGCGGGGAGGTAGGCGATTGGGGGATGTTGGTTACAATCAGGAAGAGTGTATTGGCACGAAGCGGTTGGGGTGGATTAATGATAGGAGTAAGGAAGAGAGGGCGGATAAGAGTCGCGGAGTTGGAGGAACTGCAAAACCCTTCCCCTTTCCGTGTTCGCCGCGTGAGTTTGTACCTAGTACACACATCTGCCGCTACTTCACGCCTATGTCTCAGGTACTCGGTACTTTGTGTTTCGAAGTATGTACAATTTGTACAAATTAGATGTCACGACATTGGATAGTTAGTAGAAATATCTATATTCATAACATATCCTATACATATTCCCTGTCAATACATCTGTCTATTCTAATCATTGGTCTCAATCGTACTTTGTAGGCAACGATATTAAGCATAGAAGTACAATTAGTAGTTCCATGATCCTTTTGCTAATCAAGTTAATTTACCCAAATGCAAAAGATTCAATATTCATTATATATATCTCATGATCCTTGGATAACTCAGTGCTTTAGTACTTGGTTTACTATTTATGGAAACCTCCTAAGTCCTCTCATTTATCTACATAGCGGCAGTGAGAAAAGCTTACAAGACTAAATAGGTAAGTACCACCACTCCTAAACAGCAAAACATATACATATTCAATAGCCTAGAGCCTCTATTCATCTAATATATTAAGCTAATAGTCTGTAAATTAGCCATCAAACAACCAAAGAAGCCAAAGAAAATTACACTCAAGGGCTGCCAGCATACTTATCTTATCGCAAACGTCAGCGGCAATAACTTCAACTTACAACAAACCACAGCACAAACACCGAAGCAATGTTCTCTCGCCTACGCTGGTGGACATCATCCCGAACACTATCAGCCCCAGCCCGACTCTTCAGCCAAACCCCTATCGTCCCCGCAAAACCCCTCCCCCCACGACTCAAGATCAACGATGCCGACATATCAATATCCTACCTAAAAGGCACCGGGCCTGGCGGACAGAAGATCGTATGTTCCAAGTCCCAATCACATTTCCTGGCCATGCACCCTCCTCTCCCCTCTCTTTCCAGATCCCACCGCCATCCCCAACCAGCAGACTAAAACTAACAAAACCTAGAACAAAACCAACTCCGCCGTCCAGATTATCCACAAGCCCAGTGGGGTGGTGATCAAATGCCAAGCGACACGCTCGCAGTCACAGAATGCAAAGATTGCGCGCTCGTTGCTCGCTGATAGAGTCGAGGCACAGGAGAAGGGGGATAAGAGTCGGGTTGCGATTAAGGCTGCGGCGGCGAAGAAGAAGAAGGCTAGTAAGCTGAAGAAGACGCGAAGGAAGTATCGGGAGCTTGGCCAGGGGGGAAAGCAGGGGGAGGCTGATATGGAAGAAGAGGATGAGATTGAGATTATATGGGACGATGATGTAAAGGAGGGAGAAAATAAGGGGACTACATCGGGAACTGAGCCGGAAACTGGGAGTGAGGCTAAACCCTCTGGGGAGTCCGGAAAGAG